GCTTCAGAAACAACTTACTACCACATCTTGCCACGGAGGCTGACGAGACACACGTTGGAGGCCTGCCCTGTCGAGGCGCGACAAGCGCCTCACTAAGTGTCAGACCCGCACAGGCACTAGCCAAGACGCGACGGCTTACATTCGGAGCGCTGTTCGTGAATATCGCTCCAGCCTTCCATCGTCCCATTCGTGAGCTAGCCACGCACTCGCAGCTCGACGATCTATCAGTTGCTACCATCGCGCGGGCGGCCGGTCTTCCACCCGACACCACGCACACACTAGCACAGAGACTGCGCGACTACGGCGCGTCGCTAACCAGGTCCCAGCCTGGACCGGCAGGTCTCACAGTGCTAGCAGGCCCTCTGGCTCGTGGATGAGGGCTCTGGCCAGGCGTCGCTCCCACAGGTCATTCCACGGCGACGACGAGGCACGCTCGACCTCCAGACTGAAGATGCGCCTTTCGCCTCGCCGCCCACACCTCACGCGGATTAGCCGCCCACCCCGGCGGGAACATGCAGGCCGACCATACCTACGATGACTGCACTATACTGGTCGACGTGGCGCATGCAGATGACGGCGCGCTCCTCCTCGCGATGCCCGCACTCTCCATCTACCCAGCTCTCAGTTGCATCTCGGGACTGGTGACGCATATGTTTGCGGCCAGAGGGCGCCTGCTCAACGTCCGACCGACGAAGACAGCAGCGCTCATCACGTGGGCAAGAAGGGCGCACGGCATGACGCATGGCACGCGCATAGTGGACGCATTCACAGCACGTCTACTGCTGCGGGGCATGTCAACGCACCCATCGCACACAACTACGCACACTTAGGATCGGCCTTCGACGCTCGCGGTTCCATGACGCCTGAGATCCAGCACAAAGCTTCGACCACTGTCTCGCCACTACGAGCATTGAGAAGACGCGCGTTTGCGACGGAAGAACTCGATGCACCAAGCAGGTTGGCATTGGCAGACAGCTAGTATTGTCAGGACGTTTGTGGAAATCAGGTGCGCGGCCATGCTTGACACAAGGTGAACATAAATTAGTCGTGCAGAAGTGGTGAAGGTGCACAGGGCAGCAGCACGCGTGCGATTCCAGGAAGAAGACTCGCAAGCATCGGACGCCCTGGCACAAGCATTGTTACGACGCCCACTCCCGTCAGCAGCCCTACTCGCTGCCAGGCTCAGGCAAACAGGCTCCCTCGACGACACCGGGCCCAGACGTGCCCTTGCCCTACTCACTGCGAGTAGCGTGAAGCGGCTAATGAAGATGCCCGACGCGGAACGATGCTAGGCATGCTGCTAAAAAACTTGGCTTGGCTGCGCACTACTACTAAGGCGTGCGCGGACCTGTCGCCCCAAGACGATCTTGCCCCATGGGAGTCCCTCATATGGCGCAGCTAGTCGGCGTGGAAACACCTTATCAAGACGGGCGTGCATGCAGCAGGTCGGCAGTCCTCTCGTACAAACCTTGGCAGCACAGGTCGAGGCCAGTTTCTTTCATGACGCGCGCGCAGCAGGAGCACCAGCACGCACATAGACTGACGACCATGGCATGATCGTACAATCACCACCCACGCCTGCACGGACAATAGAGCATGTATGTTCATGGTGCATTGTGTCGTTCAAACGCCAGCGACCACTACGAGCACATGAGGGCTATGCTGGGGCCAACGGACAGCGCATGACGCGTTTGTCTGCCTTCCACGCTAGAGGGCACCTAGTACTGACCATCAAAAACCCCGCCCACCACCGTGCACTTGCACCTCACAACCAGGACCGTCCCAAGGGCTCGGAAAAGCTGCCACTGCCACGCAGGCATGTCTCAGTACCCACGACCAAGGCGCTAGGTCCACTCACTGAGCTGGCCACGCAGACCCTAGATACGATGTCACACGATGACGCGCGACGAGCCCTGCTACAAGCGGACCCAGGGACGCGATCGAACTGCTCAACCCTCGGGCACAGATCGACGTCGACGTACACAACCCATACCCGCCACCTCAGCAAGAACGATACCCAGCACGCATGTTCCAGCCAAAATGTTGCACTGACATGGCGGCGACCCCATTACCATTGGCCATACGACGCACTGAGTACTATGTTCTCAACCAATATTGTGACAGGCGCAGACTAGGAGACATCAGCGCATGTGCTGAGTGGTCACACTACCTCACATATGCTGGCACTGTGGTTCTGCAGATCGCCAATGCCATCGACCTGCAATATGCAACATTATATGTGGCAATACACACACCCACGACACATGGATGGAGCACATACGTGCCAAACGCGTGGTACTGTCAGCAGGAGGACCGCCATGTGAGACATGGCCCGCCATACGATGGGCGGAACACGGAGGGCCTCAGCCACTCAGGTCACATGACGACTGTTGGGAAGCTTGCGGCTACACCACGACAGATGGAACAGTTGCGAGTTGGTAACGAGCTGCTCGGCGCCATGGAAGAACTGTTGGAGCTTCCCTTAGGTGTCGCCACATGGCGCTGGATGCAGAACCCTATGCCCGAAAGCTGGAGACTGACAGCCGTAAGCTCCTTTCTGTGCGAGCCTCTCCCTGCAATAGCAGCGTCGCCAGCGGCGCCCGTCTCCGATTTTAATCAGTGCGAGCACGAGCAAGTTGCACGAGCACCGACACGGTTACTGGCACATAGAATGGGTAAACTACACGACATGCTGATGGAGACACCTGGACATGGTAGATGTTCACACGGACGGGGCGCTCACGAGGTCCTCATGGGATGCGATCGTGCATGTGACGAGGGGCGCACAGCAAAGATAAGACATGTCCCCTGCCTTGTGTGGTGTACCTGCTGAGGGTAGCGTGGATGCAAGATCGTACATATTTATATATATATATATATATATGCAAGATCATACAACATAAAAAAACGACATGCGCGACGACTGAGCTGCCTTTCGACACGCATGACGGGGGGTCAGCTCCGACAATCTCTTGCTGCGTGCAATGTGGAGTGGGTCCCCGACCTAGGAGTCACCTAAGGTTGGCCCCAGGCTTTGTCCCGTCAGCCGATGCCGATCGGAGGCAAGAGCTGATCCAGAGATAGGGCGTTTTGAACCCCCGCACAAGCCGAGCAGCCTCCTCAGGGCGTCGGTTTGAATCCGACAGCAACTCCAAGGCCCAGCGGACAACCAGAGGGAAGTGAAGAGCAAGAGTACGCAAATGCTCTAGCAATTTTGGATGACCCCTCTCCCAGTCCCCTGCCTCCGTTCCCCAGCCTCCTCTGCCAGTCCCGCTTGCCGATGAAATCCGTGCACGCATAGCGCAGAATCGAGCGCTCGCACACGCACGCAAGCGGGAGCGACTCGAGCGTGAGAGAGCGCAGCACAGTCGTAACGTTGCGCCCTGGACGGCCGACCCCAACTTTGGCGTCGGGCTGTTCGATCGAGCGCAGCAGGCACGTGCATGCCGATGCCAGCAGGACCCAGCGTTTTGCCCCTCGGGCAGGCATGACAGGTGGCATTGACAAGTCGAGACGACGTGACACCCAGCACACTACGTGACAGGTCGCAGTCGAGCGTAGGGCTTGATGAGTCGTGGCAGTCAGAAGTGCGACTCACCAGGCCGCCTTTGCATTTTGCCAGCCCTGCCAGTTGTGCGCGTGCTCACCCATAGTGGAAAGACCCACGCAGCTCCCAGCTCACCGCAGATCATTGCGACGTCCAGGGACGGGAGGAGGAGGTTTTAGCTAAGTGCAGTTAGGGCAGGTCAGAAGCGTACTCTTGCTTACCCCGTCACCCGCTCGCTCCATGCCGCCCCGTCCTGCTCTCTACCCGCCGCGCCGCTCCTTGACAGGCAGAGGTCCCATCCCCTCCTCTGATTAGCCTCCTTCCTCTCTACATTGCCCCCTCCTAGAAAGGTTTCGGACAGCAGTAGGATAGGGGATAGGGTCAAGGGGCCACGTGAACCTAGCCGAGGCTAACGATGTCTCCAAGGCGCATCGCTCGTGCGAGGACCTATCGGGGCCCCGCCCCGCGCCGGCCAGCCAGGTGCCAGCGAGCAAGTCGCTCGCCGTGCCTGCAACCCGCGGGTCAGTTGCAGCAGCGCATCCGTCCCGCCATTTTGACCAACATACCGAAGGAGAAAGGGCTGCATCTCGGACTATGGCCAAGCGGGGTGATATGGCGGATGGGGGGCGCGGGTTCGCGCGGAAGCGACCCGCCTGTTGGCTCCCATGGGTGGGGGCGCTCATCACGGTCTGCGGGGGTAGCCATTCCCCTTAGGGGGGCGGTGAAACCGCGGGCCTACGGACCATCAATCACCCCGCGAATGCCAGCCAGGCTCCAGTGGGCAATTACACAGGTATGCAGCGAACGGTCAACAGGCCAGCAGTTTGTGTCGCGCTTTGCTCAGGAGAGGCCGCGCAGTGTGCATGGTTCAGGCTCTCGTCGCACACAGCCCCATGTCCTGCCATCACAGGCTGGCAAGACACTCGCCGTGCACAGCCCTTGCCTGGCGATCGTACTGGCCACCTCCCGCCCTTCTGGCCACCAGACAGAAGGAGAAAGGCTGAATCACCTCCATCGCCTCCTGTCTTAGCCCGAAGATTGGGCTTCTCCGCCGCCGTCTCATCTGCGTGCCATCACACGGGCCGAAGATGACTCCGCCACCTCAGGTACATCTGTCTCTCGAGAGCGATTCTCATGATTCGCCGATGTCAGGGAAACCTCGCCAGCGTCACATCAGGACCACGCCCGCCGCTCTCTCATTGTAACGCTGTGCTCCTCTCCCTGACCTGCACTGTTCACTGCACTTGCTTACTTAGTGCCCGCGCAGATCAATCTAGTTGTTTCAATATTATGCTAGCTGCAGCGCCGCACTCTGCTGACAGACCATCGGCTTCAACAGCTTTGCAATCCAAAAACCCACTGCCCCTCCCCCCTCCTTCGCACCTTCGCCCTCCCCCCCCCTGCCGCTCCCTCCCCTCCAACCCCTCTTCATCCACGGCCGCGCCGGCGGGGCCTCCTCCTCCTCCTCCTCGTCCAGCTCGCCGCGCGCGCCCGCGCCCAGCCCGGGCCGCGCCGGCGCGGAGAGCCATCGGTAGGAGAAGCTCTGGCGCATGCTGCTCGCCTCGCGGGGGCGGGCGCGGAGGGCAGCCGCTCGCCCCGCCCCACCCGCCAAGGGTGGAGGCCGCCCTGGGCGTTTCCTGGGGAGGCTCCTGTTCGGAACGACGCTCGCGCCAGGATCCGGCGGCTCCTTCCTCGTCACTGCCGACCCCCTCTCGTCCGCTCCTCCGCCCCCGCCCCCCGCCCCCGCCCACACTCTCCACTCGTCCTGCTCCTCCTGCTCCTCCTTCTCCATATCCTGATCCGTCCCGTTGCCTTATAAATAGCTCCTCCCTGTTGCAACCCCAGACGTGTCGGTAGAGCGGGCTGTGCGTTTCGCCTGAGAGGTCCTCACAACTTACGGTCCTGAAGTTTCACGTCATTACCAGTTTCGAAGATGGAGGGCGGCCCGAATTCAACATGTAGCTGTCGCATTAGCGCCGCGCGCATTCGTCTTGAAAGTTCGCAACAGCTTCAAGGATGGAGGACAGTCCATTTTCAAAATGTGGCTGTCGCCGTAGCGCCCCGCACATTCATCGTAAAGTTTCGCAGCAATTTCAAGGATAGAGAGCGACTCCTTTTCAAAATATGGCTCACGCCTTAGCGCCGCGCACATTCTTGCTTCAAGATTGCAACCTTTTCAAGGATTAGTACTGTTCACGATTTCGGGCTGTCAGGACGCAGCGGTCACGTTGATTCGCGGTGTTGAAGTCCCAGGAATGGTGTCCTGGCACGATGTGGAAATGTTGGGACGCAACAGTCACGTTGATTCGCGGGGTTGGAGTCCCAGGACTTTGCTTCGGCACGACTGAGGATCCTCAGACGGTTGCCTTCCGATGGGGCACTTCCCGTAATGAAGACAAACTGATGTAGGAACCTATGCAGAGGGAACTTAGAGGGATGGTTTGTTACAATATCGTTGATGCGTCTTGGGCGTACACGAGTCCTCATCCTCGTCCTCCTCATCATCAGCATCATCATCAGCAGCCGCATCCGTCTCCTCATCCTTCTCCAATGCACAAATGGCCCGCCCTCGCTGCCAACTGTGCAGCAAATGGTGGGCAAAATAACGTTACCTTCGTTCAGAGGCACGAGCCCACCACCACGCAGCCATAGTGATGTGAAATGGGCAGGCGGAATGAGCGAAGCGATTCAATCATGCAACCTGCATTCAGGGATCAAGGAACGTTCAGACTTCCCGGTCGGCGGAGACAGGACAATTCAGCGCAACGAGGGATTGGTGGGAAGGGTAGGGTGTCAGATATGACGTGAGCGCACGCAGCTTGCCAGTCTTCAATCCCACCTCCACTGCCTTGACTCCCCTCACTTTTCAGCACCCCACTTCACCCTTTCCGCCCTCCCTCCCTCCACTCCACCTTCCCAACCCTTCCCTCACTCCCCTAAGGAAGAGATTCGGGATCTCCTTTGCCTGCCTCCCCAATCTCCCGACCCACATCCCCTCACACTCCCGCTCCATCCCCCTCTCATCCCTCGTCCCTCCCTCTCTCCCTCCCTCCCTTACCCTCCCTTGCCACGTGTTTCTGTCCGTGTGAGGAGGACACCAAGCGGGCAGCTGTTGGGCTGTCTTTTGGACAGTGGTCCTGACTACAATAAAACGCAGAAGGAGCAGCAACAGCATCACCGCCATCAACTACACCATCATCATCATCATCATCATCATCATCATCATCATCATCATCATCATCATCATCATCATCATCAGCATCATCATCATCAGCAGCATCATCATTATTATCATCGTCATCATCATCAACACCAAAATCATCAATCTACAAATCATCAGATTTCTCATCATCACCACCGTCACCATTGTCAGCATCCGGGTCGTGATCAACATCGTCATCATCATCATCATCATCATCATCAGCATCATCATCATCATCATCATCATCATCATCATCATCATCATCATCATCAGCAGTCATCATCATCATCATCATCAGCATCATCAGCATCATCATCATCGTCAGCATCACCAGCAGCATCATCATCAGCATCATCAACATCATCGACAGTACAGTATCAGCATCATCATCAGAAGCAGCATCATCATGAGCAACACCATCATCATCATCATCAGCATCATCAGCAGCATCATCGTCGTCAAGATCATCATCTGCATCAGCATCAGCATCGTCATCATCATCACCATCAGCATCATCCTTGTCCATATCAGCATCATCATCAGCAACAGCAGCATCATCATCATCCTAATCATCAGCAGCATCATCATCGTCAGCATCATCACCAGCAACAGCATCATCATCAGCAGCATCAGCATCAGCATCATCATCATCATCAGCAACTTCATCATCAGCAGCAGCACCTTCACCATTATTGTCACAATCATCATCGTCGCAAGCATCATCATCTTCATCATCAGCAGCAGCAGCCTCATCATCCTCATCCTCGTCATATTCCTGATGCTGGTCATGATCCTCATTCTCGTCCTCATCCTCGTCGTCATCATCATCGTCATCGTCATCATCATCTTCGTTAGCAGCATCATCGTCATCATCAGCATCATCATCAGCATCATCAGCATCACCATCAGCATGATCAGCCTCATCATCGACAGCATCAGCATCAGCATCATCATCAACAGCAGCATCATCAGAATTCCCATCACCAACACAAAGTCATCATCAGCATCATCGTCGCCATCGTCATAATCACCAAACCCATCAGAAGCATCATCATCTTTACCATCCTCGCTATCATCGTCCTCATATATGTCGAACATCATGAACATCAGCCCCTGGGGCGAAGTGGGCTTCGTGGTGAGAACGTGCGGCCGGGAAGGGTGCTGTATCGGTCGAGGCGGCGCCGAGCATGCTCCGCGTTTCCCCAGCTCATCCAAACTTGTCGTGAGGGCATGTTGGGCCCTCACTGTCGGACTGCAGCTGGTTCTCCTGCCACTGTGGTGGCTGCCCAACAGCATTAGCATCGAAATCGTAACAATCATAGGCATCACCATCACCATCCTCGCCAACATCACGCCTCGCCAACAATATCCGCACCGTCATCGACATCGTCATCATCATCATCATCATCATCATCAGCATCATCATCATCATCATCATCATCATCATCATCAGCCTCAGCATCATCATCATCAGAAGCAGCAGCATATCGCCTCCTCTTCCTCCTCAACATCATCATCATCATCATCATCATCATCATCATCATCATCGTGATTATCATCATGATCATCGTTAGCATCATCATCATCAGCATCAGCATCATCATCAGCATCAGCATCAGCATCATCATCAGTATCATCAGCATCCTCATCATCAGCATAATATGCATCATCATCAGCAGCATCGTCAGCATCGTCAACGTCATCACCATCGTCATCAGCATCTCCATTATCATCAGCATCATCATCCTCATCATCATCAGCATCGTCAGCATCGTCAACATCATCATCATCCGCATCATCATCGTCATCATCATCTCCATTAGCAGCATCATCATCATCATCATCATCATCATCATCATCAGCATCAGCATCATCATCATCATCATCATCATCATCATCATCATCATCATCATCATCATCCTGATCATCCTCCTCATCGTCATCACCATCGTCGTCATCATCATCATCAGCATAAGCATAGTCACCATCGCCCTCAACATCCTCATCATGATCATAATCAGCATCATCATCGTCATAAGAATCATCGTCATCATAAGTATCAGTATCATCATCCTCAGCATCATCATCCTCATAATTATCATCATCCTCATCATCCTCGTTATCCTCATCATCCTCTCCTCATCGTCCTCATCAGCATCAGCGTCATTATCATAGTCATCATCATCAGAATCATCATCATCAGTATCAGCATCGTCATCAACATCATCATCATCACCATCGTCATCAGCATCGTCGTCACCATGGTCATGCTGATCAACATGATCGACCTCGCCATCGACAACCTTGTCGTCAGTATCATCTTCGTGTTGAGTGTAAACAACAACAAAATCATGATGCTTTACCTATATTGCGAATCAGGAGCGTCATCAACGGCAGCTGCAACCGTATAATTGGCAGGAGTAGCATCTGCAATCGCAACAGCAGCAACCCCATCATCATCACCATCATCACCATCATCATCATCATCATCATCATCATCATCATCATCATCATCGTCGTCATCGCCATCACAACTGTCATCACCCTCATCAACATAGTCAACGTCGTCGTCATCGGCGTCGTCATCGTCACAGACATCCACATACCCCAAGAGCCTCCGCCCATTCCTCGCTCTTCTGGACTCCATGCTGCCCCGCAAGGGGTATCACTGTCCCCAGGGTGTGCCCGCCGCCCACCTTCTGCAAGCCGCGATCGATGAGAGCCATCGCCTCAACTGTGGCCTCCGGGGCCAGGGGGGAGAAGCGCTGGCGCCCCTGGCAAGGAGAAGCCCCCCTCGGCGAGGAGTTAGCAGCAGCGGGAGCGGGGGAAGGACAAGGACGAGGACGACGAGAAGAGGAAGAAGGAAGGAGAGGAGGGAAAATAATCACGATGGAAGAGAAGGAGAGAGAGAGGGGAGGATAAAGAAGAGAGGATGGAGGAGGGAGGTAAGAGCAAGAAGGACAACGAAGGAAGCAGAGGTGAGCAGGGTGGGGGGAGAAAGGAGGCGCGGAGGAAGGGAAGAGGAGGGAGGAGCACAGGGAGGGGGAATGGGGGAAGAGAGCCTGAGGACAAGAAAGAGGACAAAGAGAGTGGTAAGAAAGAGTAGCACGAGGAGGAGGAGGACGACGGCGACAGGTCACTAAAGGACTTACACATTAATTTGATTGGTGGGGACTAGATGCCATGCACGCACGCGACCTCCCAACCCTCCCTCTCGTGTCTTATCGGGATGGAGGGAGGGAATGGACGGG